CTCCAGCCTGAGTGGTGGCTGCTTCTAGCACAGGGGTGACCAGTGCTCCTCTCCTCCTTCCCCTCCTGCGGTCCATGGGGGTCAGGTTGTGCAAGCTGCAGGGCCCCTAGAGGAAGAGAGATCTTCCTACCCCACAGCCTCAGCCTCCCCCTCCCAATGCTCTGGCAGGATCAGCCCCAGTACCCCCCCTGCCCTGCAGCCTGAGCCCTCCCCGGAAAAGGCATTGACATCAGCTCCCCCTCCCTTAAGCTGATTAGGGCAGCAAGGACATGACCAAGCAGATGCCACCAGTGCCGTGAAAGCGACCAGAGCACGGAGGGATGTAGAGGGGGCACCATGCAGCTACCACCCCCAGGTCCCACAGCTGCTCTGATCTGGGGGGGCAAGGAGAGGGGCTAGGGGCTGCCCACCCCCTCCAAAGTCTGCATAATTGCATGACGTCCCCCTACACACCCTATCTGATCCCTGACCTAGGTCTAGCTCCCAGCCCTGGCACCCAGGCCCAAGATGGAGGTGGGATGGGGAGCACTGCCTCAGGGACAGGGCAGGCACAGGACATCCCAACACACTCCCCTTACAGCGCCTGTGCCCAGAGGCCTGGGCACTGCAACCTGCTCGGGGGTGCCGCTGTGTGCATGCAGCTGCACTGTCGCACCACCAGCCCTGAGGTGCCAGGGGATCCAGGCTGCACTCTGTGCACAGAGATGCACTCTGGCCTTGCACCAATCTGCAGCCTAAAAGGAACTAATGTGAGCCCCAGTACAGCCCTGAGAAGGGCTGGAGGACTCCCTGGCCCCCAGACCGGCCCGTCCCCTCTGGCGTGGGCAGCAGGAGACCTCAGTGGCCCTGCAGGTTTTGCTTTTACCCCACTGCCAGGCAGAGCCTGGCTGTCTCCCCCAGACCCTGCCTGCCCAGTCAGCTGCAAGCTGGGCTGCCCCCCTGCACACCCTCAGGCTTGGTGGCCATGCCTGGAGCCGGAGGACACCTTGTGGCCTGCCCTGAGACCACACCAGGGACTGCTGGCACTAGCTAGGCATGCTCCTAGAGCTGGAAGAGTGATGAATGTCTCATCTGAGCCTGGCTGCTGCAAGCACCCTTGCTCACCCCATGGCTCCATGCCTGCCTGCTGTGACCAGGGCAGAGGTGCTGATGGGCCAGGCGTCCCTGCTCCCAGCACAGAGCGGCCCAGGAGGCCAGCTGCTGCCAGATCAGGACATGGTGGTCCTAGTGCATTGCCCCAAGCTAGCTGCAGGTCTGTGTGGGTCACAAGAGATCTGGCACCTGCTTGTAGGGCTGATCCCAAATTCCCCCGGATTCTGGCCAGGTGGTGGACGTCCTGTCAGTCCAGCTGTGTATCCTCTTTTCCTCCAGCTGCCCTAGCCCCTTGCCAGTTGGGAGACAGGGTGCATAGCTGCCCTGGATGGGTGGGGGCTGTTTCCCAGGCACCCCAGAGGTTTCCAGCTCTGCCCTGTCTCTTGGAGGGTGTGAAATGTGATTCCTGCAGAAAAGACGGTGTGCAGAACAAGGCAGGGGAGCAGTATCCTCCCCATCCCAGGCCTGCAGGTGCTCTGGCTCAGGGTAGCAGGAGGTTGCTGGGTTGTTTCACCTCCTCTCTCCACCCGCCATGGACACAAGTAGACTTAGGTCACAGCACCTCTCCATTTTATTGAAGATTAAATTGCTCCTCCCAGCCTGTGCAGAGCCCGGCATGCCCAGCTCTTGTGCCAGTGGGCCAGTTCTGGCCACTGGGCCAAAGTCCTGCACTGGAGGATGGGGGCACCTCTGTGGACCCAGGGCGAGAGAACCAGGCCTGCCCCTCAGTGCCTGGGGCTCCCAGACCTTGACCTTTTTCCTGCTTCATCTCCCCCCCATCTTGCACCTGGGGGGGGGGTTCCCTATCCTTGGAGGATCCCCCACCAAACTCTGCATGCAGGAGGCTAAACCCACAGTAAAACAAGCATTAACCTTATCTGGAACAGAACAGCAGGGCCGGGGCTCCTGTGCAGATGTCCAGGACTGTCCTTCCCCTGCAGCATGGGCCTCAAGTACTGGGAAGAGGGCAGAGTAGCAGTCACCAGGCTCTGCTCCCGCCAGGCTTTGCCCTAGACAGCAGTGCCCTCACACCTGCCCCAGCACCTCCACCCTAGAGCACACTTGCCCCAGGCAGGAGTTAGCTGGTGCAGAGGACCTGCTCTCCAGACCAGAGGCCTCTGTGGTCTGGAGGAGGAGATGGGGCAGGAGGTGTAGGAGTGGTGGCAGCCTACGGGAGGAAAGGAAGGGCTTGGAGACATGGGTGGGAGACCACGGAGCTGCAAGGAGGGTTCCCTGCCATCCCTGCCCGTTGGGACTATCACCCACAGACAAAGCTATTGTGGCGCTCCAGCTCCTGGCTCCTGTGGGCTCAGGCTGCCATTGGGGTCTCTATGGGGTGACAGGAAGGCAGGCACAGGCTGGGGGCAGAGCTAAGCATGAATGGGGTTTATGGGGTGAGGGGCATGTTGAAAAGGAAAGGGCGGGGGTCAGGGTCCATGCTAGGGGGAGGTCCATGTTTTTTCCTTCTGGTCACACCCCATTTTGAGGTGTCTTGCCCACTTCTAGGGTCATGGATCCCTCCTCACCTTTAATTTAGATGCCTTCTGCCCTATGACCACCTTTATAGGCGAACAAGCCCAGCTACCCTGCAACCACCCCTCTCCTCCCACACCACTCTCCAAATCAAAGAGGGGGCAGATGAGCGCAGGGCATGCTCCCCACCCCGTCCTTTCCCAGTGAGCCCCCCAGCCTGGCACAGCCCCACGCTGCCAGGGACAGGGAGGTCCGCCGGGTGCAGCTATGCCGCTAATGGTAATGGTTGTTCATGTTGTTGAGATGGGAGGCTGCCATGGCACTGAAGGGGGCAGAGGGCTGGAGGCTGTGCCCAGGGTAGAGGGATGGGCTGGAGCCAGGCCAGTAGGAGAAGCCGGCCGGCGTGACCCCTGAGGTCATGAGGTTGAGTTTGGAGATGCCCGAGAAGGGCAGCGGGGCCAAGTTGCCCTGGAATTTGTAGAGGGTGTGATCAGGGGCGGTCGGCTGGCACACCTGTGCCAGCCCGTGGAAGTCGAACTTGTAGGCGTAGCGCTTGCCATGGACCTTGGTCATGATGTTCTTGTCGTAGTAGTAGCGCAGGGCCCGGCTCAGCTTGTCGTAATTCATATTGGGCTTGCTCTTCCGCTCGCCCCAGCGCCGCGCCACCTCGTCGGGATCGATCAGCTTGAACTCCCCGTTCGTGCCTTCCCACGCAATGCAGTTCAGGTTGGCCCGGTCCGAGAGCAGCTCCAGCAGGAACTGCCACAGCTGGATCTGCCCACTGCCTGCAAGGCCATTCCCCAGAGAGGTTAAAACTCCCTGTCAGGGCACGGGGAGCGGGACAGGGTACCCAAATTCCCACTCCCTGCTATGTTGCCCTCTCTCAACCCCAGCTCTCAGATGCCCCTCTTTGCATCTTACACTCTAGAGACACAGAAGATGTTAGTGAGGCTGTCTCCCTTGCAACACCTCTACCCCATCCTGTCCCACAAGCAAGAGGAGAAGAGAAAGGCAGAGCTGGGTCCCTTGGACAGGGGTAGTAGAGCCCAGAGGCCAAAGCAGCTCACTGTGGCGCCTTGCCTACAGACTTGATCCGGACTCCACATATCCCTCCTGCTCTCATTCACATGGCAGTGAAACCAAATACTACTCACTTACTTTGATAAGAGGCTCTGGCCTGGTTGTTTGATCTGTAGCCCTAAGAAAGAGGTATCTTGGCAGCACCTGGATCCACCCCAGCACCCACGTTCCTCACCACCACCTCTGCTTGAAACTGGGCTTGGTGTTCCTAGAGAGCCCCTGCCCATCTCCAGGGCTACCATGGCCAGCAGGGATCTCTCCACAGTGGGCTGATGGTGGTGGGCAATGCTGCTCTCACCGGCACTCCTGCAGGCTCAGGGCAGGTGCAAGGAGAAAGACACCAGGGCATTGAGCGCTTGGCAGCACCTACTGTAGGTTTGAATCAGGCACCAGTGTTCACTGTTTCCAGGGGAAAATTGTACTCTCTCAGCTATCCACGGCCAATTTACCTGCAGATTGGACCGAACGGCAGCCATGGTAGGTGCCCAAGGTGCCATGCACTGGGCTGAACGTGGGCATATACAGGAGCTTAGCACACCTGGATATGCCCATGGTGAAGTGCAAGGACAGATTCCACTGAATCTGGCCAGAAGTCACAGGAGAAAAGGGTCCCTGGGTTTTAGGGTGATGATCAGTAGTACATCACAGACCACGTCCGTGACTCCCCACCCTGCAGAGCAGCCTTGCGCTTACCCTGACAGAGCCAGACACCCCCAACACTCCCCTCCGCACTCACTCCCAGGCGACTATGCTGCACCCACTGCCCATTGCCTGCTCCCAGCCCCAGCCTTTGCAGCACAGGGACTTCCTGCAACAGAGGATCTGTCTTTGCATTTCATCCTCCTCCCTGCTTTTTCCTGCCACTGTTTTGTCTAATGGTGCTTGAGGTCCCATGTAGGTATTTAGCATCCACGACAGCCTGTGGCAAGCAGTTCCACAGCTCAGCTATGTTTTGCATGAAGAACTGTCTGCTCCTGCTTGTTTTGCACTTGCCTTTTTCATTTGATGCCCCCCCCATTCTTGTCTTGGAAGAATCAGTGAATCACCCCACACCTTCGCTCTGCACAGTGCCCTTCTCTGCTCTATCTCCAATTTTAGTATGTTTCTTTAGGGATATAGAGGAAGAGGGACCAGAGCAGAACCCAAGACATGGTGCACCCATTTAATCACTCAGATCAGTGGTCCACATCCCTGCATAGAGGTTTGAGCTGGGTTTAAAAGCTCTACGGGTTGTCAGCTGGCCCATAACTCATAGCCCCTTGCTTTCATCTCTCCATCTCTCTCCTTGCACTGCAGCTGGGGAGTTGTCACCTCCAAGCCAGCCACAGCCAGGCTGCTGGCAAGGTGAAGTCCCCAGCTCAGTATCCAGACAGGTCCTATTCCACCATCTTTTTCAACTGCTGCTTTGCTGGCCCTATCTGCACTGTCTGGGTGGGGCCACCAGTGCTCCCCATCTTTGGACTGGGGTGGGGGGGATCGCCTATCTTTATGGCGTGTTCACAGCCCTTGTCCCATTTCCATCCCTGCAGGCTCCACCCTGGATTTCTGCAGGATGCTGAAGCGTGCTATCCCCCCACCAAGTATGAAGTGTTCCCCCCTCCACAGGCAAGGAGGGCACAAAGGGGCTGGGGGGGGGCAGCTGCCTGGTGGGGTGCTGAGGCTCAATCCTGCCTGCTGCAGGGTGCTATGCTACAGCGTTCTGCAGCTCCCCAAGGAAAACTCCAGTGATCAGGAAAGCCCCTTCCCACACAGTGCAGTGCACAGAGTACAGCCAGGGCAGGGTCCCTGATGCAGAGGCACGAGGGCCCTTCCAGTCTCAGCTTTGCCCATAACACTGGGGCTCCCCTTTTCCTGCTCGGAGTAGCCCTTGGCCCCATCTCCTTGCCGACAGGCAAGCTGCATGGCCCGAGCACCACGGTGCTGGCCCCAGGTTGGGCCTGATGTTCAGCCACGCTGCGCTCCCCAACGAGCTCCAGGCTGCTCCACAGCCAGCCCTCAGCGCATCCCCCGGATCCCTGGATGGCTTTCCCTGGACCGACGGCTGCTGGCCCCCAGTGGATCTGCCATCTCTGAGCCGACCCGTGCTGCTGCCGGAGCTGCATGCTTGCACCGGCAGCTCCCTCCCGAGGGGCATCTCGCCTCCTTCCTCTCTCCAGGACACCCAGCCCGGATTGCCCCCCGCAGCTCCTGGGCTGGCTGGCAGCTCCCTCCCTGTTGTAGCTCCCCCAG